GGGTATTTATACCCTCTAAAGATCTCAGCAAAAAATCCCAAGTCAAAAGACCAAAAAACCATCTTCAACGGCTCTAAAAAGAGCCGTTGGGACTCCAGCGGTCGACCGATGAAAATCGCGGTCGACCGCGAACAAGGTCAGAAGCTCAGGAGACATCCAGAGAGCCTTCGGTCGACCGGGTGGAAATTTCGGTCGACCGGTGGTAAATTTCGGTCGACCGGCGGAAATTTCGGTCGACCGACGGTACTGAAGCAGGTATATTCGATTTTATAAAATCAGTTAAAAATAGTAAAACAGCTCCAAAAATTATGAAATTTTGAGGAAAGGTTCTAGACATGTATAAAAACATATTAGAGAAAGAATTTCTGAAAAACAATTATCTAGTTGAGAGAAATAAATGTTTTAACACAGAAATATAGTTTCTGAAAAACTGCTGACATACACGATTTTGTAAAATCAATTGGGCATAGTAAATCAACTCCAAAAATAGTAAAATTTTGAGAAAAGTTTCTAAACATGTAGATAAACATGTCAAAGAAAGAATTTTTCAAATATCGCTTCTCATTTGTGAAAACTCATCAGTTTTGTAAAACATGCACGAACATGTGCACGAACAAAAACATGATTTTGTAAATTCCATTAAACATAACAAATCAATTCCAAACTTGATGAAACTTTGAGAAATGTTTGCAAATGATATTTTGAACATGTTACAAAAAGAATTTTCCAATTTGCATTTCTCAATTGTGAAATCTCATTATTTTGCAAAAGTATTCAAAACATGAAAAACCCAAAACCATGCATGTATATATATAACTATATATATACATAGAAACCAAATACGTGTGTGTATATTATATTGAGCTTAGAGTACTTAACACACATAATATAAAACCTAAACTAGATTACCCAAGCCGATCTTGATCTTCAATAAGCTTGACTTGGTACACTTTGCGGATGAAGCTTGAACTTGATCTTTAACTTTGAATTGCAAGGCTTCACCGACATTCCGCCAACCTCCTTTTGATATGATCTTGTAGGCTTAATCCATCCAACCTCCAACTACGTTGTTTGTCTATAATAAATAAGAAAACACAAATACTAGAAAAACAACATTAG